TCCTGCTGCTACTCATAGTTTAAATGCCATTTGTTAGTTGTATGTCTTCACCTCTTTGTCTCATTTATATCATCTTTACTGGAGCTGAGTTAATATATGAAGTGAACTGAAGACAGCCCCTGGAACTAAGAACCGGTTAACGTTAAATATTATTATGGTTCAGGCCCTAATTTATTCTTGCCTGGGCAGTTACAATAACGTTTTTGTTTTTCAGCATACTACAACTGATGTCAGACTAACTTTTTCAAAGTACAGCTTTTGTCATGGTATTATTCTGTTTAGAAATCTTCAGTGATTGAAGTTAAGGGGAATGTGTCTTTGCTGTTTGTAATATTTCCTTTTCTGTGGATGAAGCTCTGCTAGTGGTGTTTCATGCCACCCTCCTTTCTCATTCTGTCTTTGAGGATATGAAGTACATTTTCTATTAAAAATTTTGCAAAGAATAAACTGGGCGTACTTGGCTTAGCCCTGCCTTTCCTGCTTATGGAACAGACTGCTTGAAGAGATTGTGTGGGGAATGATATGAAGTGGGGGGTTGGTTCAGTGCATTCTACACCTGGGAAAATCTGCCTCATTGTGGGGTTCAGTTAACAGATGCATTTGTTGTTCACTGAAAGAAAAATTCCAATTTAGCCTTCATTAGCAATAAAGGTAATTTTTGTCTTTTATTTCTTATGCTTTTTTAATGTTTCTTAACTTGCTCAGAGCCTAGATTGAAAAGAAAGGTGCTATATTTATTATTCTCTTTTATTAAAGACCACAAAATACTGCCTGCAAATAGAGTCCAAACACATTAGATTGGACTCTTTTCTTTGGGTGATCTGCATCTCAACCAAAATAGTTTAATTAATTTCTGTTGTATTTCTCTGCAAATTCCTGTCTCTGAATTTTTGTTCATCTGGATTTTTCTAAGTACATGCCCTCTATCCCTGTATGACTGCATCCTGTTTATCCTTCAAGGCCTAACTTGATATATATGATGAAATTTTTATTATTTTGCTTGATTGAAATATATCTCTGCATGGGCTTCCCTGGTGGCGCAGTGGTTGAGAGTCCACCTGCCAATGCAGGGGACACGGGTTCGTGCCCCAGTCCGGGAAGATCCCACATGCCGCGGAGCGGCTGGGCCCATGAGCCATG